TATATATATACTTTTCATTTTTAGACAAACTAACCATAATACTATTTATGCCGTGTGTCATTAAGTGGCCTATCGAAAATGTATACCAATATGTTGTTCTTTTTTTTTAGTTTTGGCTGGATTCATCTCCAGGGAGGACGTTGAAGGTATTGTATGTGACCTAAAGTGCATGACTGGGGATGATCTGATTACGGGAAGAACAAAAATATGTTAAAATCTGCAGTATCAGATTGTTTTTATAGACTAGACAACAGGGAATTGAGTTTGGGGGGCCAAAGAAAGAACCTTCTTAATGTAATTAAAATCTCCATATCAATGTAACAATTCTCACCAAATCAGGCCTAATCTAAACTCAGGTGTATGCACATTGCTACAAGGGTTGCTCCCTTTTTTAGTGAGAACGCATTCATTTTAGAAAGTTTCACCTATGTTAGAAAACATCTGTGAGTGGTAATAAGCACTTCCAGCGCAGTGAGTTTGGTGTTTGTGACTCTGTTATTCCATCACATTTTCTGCTGCTATTTCAGTTGGAGAAGAGATAGAGATGACACCTATGGTGTTCGCAAAAGGCTTGGCTGACTCTGGCTACTGGGGAGACAAGTTTTTTGGAAGGATAGCCATGGAGGAACCACATGCTGGGAAAGGATTTTCGAGAAAGTCCTGCAGAGTAAAGGTGATTTATGGGTTGGAACCAATGTTTGAATCAGGGAAAACCTGTATCATCAAAATCCGAAATCTAATCACCTTTGGGACCAAGAATGAAAACACCTTAGTGGAAAAGAATTATGATATCACCATTCAGGTACGTACTATTTATTTTGCACAATTTTCATGAGTGAAGAATGGGAAAATCATTTGACACGCTCTTAACAGCAGATGCCGAATATAAGGAGGCATACTTTTTTTTGTTTTTGTTCTGAAAGATCAGCACAAGGAGCCAATTAGTTGTGCTGTAGTGCTCATGTGCTAACAAGGAACATGGTGATAGGGGTAGAGAGCAGTGTGACAGAGAGAATAAATGATCAGTTTCATTATCCAATGATACACTGGGGAGAGTGACAAAGCCTGTGAGTGTTACCTAGCAGGGCTGTGCCGTGTTGCAGATCTATGTAAATCTCAGAACTGGATGGGCAGAAATACAAATCCTTTGGCAGGTGAAACAGCCTCAAAGTGGAATAAATCTGTACAAATGGGTTATGTAAATCAATGTGTAATTAGAACTTGAACTAATATGTCAGTATCTTAATATGTTCACTTTTACTCTCAAGGAATGTAAAATACAGAATACTACCCGCGAATACTGCAAGATATTTGCAGCTGAATGCAGAGGAGTCCCTAACTTTGGACAGATCCTTGAGTAAGTTCTGAGCTGTGCTCTGCATTGTGTTTATATTAACCACTTCATGACTAAGGCCTTTTTTTAATTTTTTGTTTACATGTTATAATCCACATTTTAGGCCTGGAAATTACTTAAAACCCCCAAACATTATATATTTTCTGAAAGCCCTGACCCTGTAGAATAAAATGGAGGCAGTTGCACATTTTCATGTTGCAGGATATTAGCGCAACTCCTTATCAAACCCCAAAATTTAGTGAAAAATGCACTTAAATGCCCCAAAACACAATAAAATACCAATTTTTAAAAATAATTATTTTAATTGTGTATATAATTGTGTGCGTCTGTAAAAGTTCGACAAAAATCAGTACCCCAAAAAGTCCATAGACGAAGCTTTAAAAGCCCCCACAGGTCAACATTTTAGGGATATGCATAAATATTTGCGCTAGAATTATTGATCTCACTCTGGCATGCGTGGCAATACCCAACATGCTTAGTGCGATCGCCGTTTTCAAACGCAGGCGCACCCGATGCATGTTAACGCGCGCGTGGTTGCGGGGGCCTTTAACAAAATGTAGAATTATTTTTACATTTAGTTTATTTAATATTAATTTTAAAAACTGTTTTTTTTTTTACTTTAATTGCTATCACATAGGGGGGCTTACAGGCCCCCCATGTGATAGCATATTGGTGGTGACAGGAACTCTAAGGTGAGACTATGAGTCCAAAAGACCCCTAGTCTCACCTTTATACTCTAAATAAGCTATTGAAGTGCAGATTGCACTTCAATAGCTTATTGCTGGGCTTCAGGAGCCCAGCTCTGACATCTATGGGACCGGAAGTGATGTAATCTGCAACGCTCCCGTTCCCAAAGTACGGGGAGGAGATTGGTGAAAGTTCGCCGATCTCCTCCCCAGCTTCCCCCCGACACCAAAAGCCGCCATGAGTCTGTTTAAACGGGCCCGATGCCATTGACGTACAGTCATGAAAGGGTTAATGTAATTCTTTATTACATCATAAGAAAAACACTAGGCTTTGTGGGATTATTTAAAATGGGTACGTATATTGTTAATTATGGCTAATCATGCCTACAACCTAATGTTTATAGATAATTAGGTGTTTAAAGTCTGTTTTTTAAAGATTCATTTGTATTTTCTTACAGCATATGACTGCTGTCTTTATCCCAAGGGCTTGCATTGTATAGTATGGGTTAGGGTGTTCCGTTAATTGCAGCTGAGGTAAAATGTGAACTTTTTTTTATTATTACTTTAGGATTTTACCTCTGAATTTGATCTATCGACCTGCCAACAACATCCCCTACGCTACCATAGAAGATGATCTACAGGGAGCATTTGAAAAGTACTGTGTCAGGGATATTACAGGAAAATTACACTTCAAGAACTCTTCAGAAATAGAGCGAAAATGCTGCACTTTTCAGCACTGGGTATACCAGTGGACTAATGGCAATTTTCTTGTCACTACTCTGGAAGGTGAGTAAATTAGATATAGTCATCACAGAAACTCAGTAATAACTGAGGAAAGTGGTAAACCATTGACCTCCCTAAAATATCATGTGTCTGTTTGTACAGGTGTTGAATGGAAACTAACCAACATAGCTATCGCCACAAAATCCAGGGGGTAAGTAGAATTAAAGTTTTTACTGTCAAATTCAGCAACAAGGATGTCAGTGTCTCTTCCATTTGACGCCCACTGTAGGGGAATTTAATAATACATAGCACCATTTTGAAATAAGGGAACCTAAGTCAGTACACGTTTGCAAAATTGCACATGTTGACATTCCCTTTCACATATCAGAAACTAAAAAGAGTCAAGTCTTTAACTCAGTATGCCTCCATGTATGCTCAAAATGCTAGAACGTACTATTTCAGGTATGTCCTACTTGTAGGATAACTAGAGTGAAGACAAGAAGAGATGGATAATATTAGAATGGGTGGCTTCCTTGCATCTATAATGATCAGGATATGTGACATTCACACATTAAAAGTACAGTTTAAGTAGTTAAAATAATGAGGCAGATAAAAGAACATTTGCTATCAACTCTTATAATCTGTTTTCATTGGACTTTTCATCAAGGTTTTAATGCTTTCTCTGCATTCTACTCATGCTATTAGTATCTTATTATAAAATGTCTTATAAAAAATATTTAAAGCCAAATCAAGCAGATAAGAAAACACCTATTAATGCAGTGAGGTGTTCATTAAAAAAAAGTTAAATGTATTTCCAAAAGCGACTAGCATTAGTGCCAGAATTTGGCTAGGTTGTGTAAATCTCAGTATTCTATGGACATATATACAAATCCTTTCTCAGGTTAAATGGCTATCATATACATATGACAATTGCGTATTTAGCTGCTTACCTTAAAGTCTGCTTTAATTTGGTAGTTTTTATTGATTGTTTATTGTCCTAGTTACACCCCCGTAGCAGTTTATGGCATACGTTATTGCTGGATTTGAACTAAACAAAGAAGTACCTGCTATGTTCATTCTTTACTGAATTGTTTGTCTAGATATCAAGGACTGAAGGAGAGCTGCTATCCAGAGATCCTTGAGGAATTCCCATCAATTCACCAGTGCAATAACTACTGTGAAATGCTTAGCTTAAAGTCACTCAAGACAATGGAGAGTCTCCAGCCTCCAGCCAAGCCAAAAGGCTCAAGAAGTCCTCAGATGCAAAGAAAATCTGGCTCAGGGTCTGCTCAGTCAAGTCCCCAGATACAAAAGAAGACTTTAACAGTCGCACAAAATAATAAAAAAGGTGGGGTCAGCCCTAAATCCCCAAGAAAATCCATGGAAACTGGTGAACCACAGCCAGGTGCAAAAAATAAAGGAAATGACATGAAACTACAATAACAGTTAGAACTATCATATTTTTTGACTCTCTATACCTGGACATGACTTCAACTGGACTATTTAAATCAATGAACTACGAAGACATAAAGGACATCATTTAAGGTGACAGATTATTTTTCTGTATTTCACATCATAAGCAGAAAGGCTGTTGACAGTCTGACCTGCAGGGGATTTGTTATAGGCAGAGGATGAGCATAGGAGGTGCATGGGCAAAATGTATTATGTACGGATGATGATTCAATTTATTATGTTGCAGATACAAAGAAAGCTGCATTTCAGGACTATTGAATCAATTTCAAAGACAAATGTTGGGATACATGGAAAAAGGCAAAGTCCAATTCCAATGAGGTATCTTAATATGTGAAACAATAACTGCACCTCCGTTACACAATTTGTTCTACAGGATACACAGCAGAAAAAAAGCACAACAATCTACAATATCTTCTTTTCACTTCCAATGCACTATTTCATCAGCTTTGGTTTGTATAAGAACATTTACAGGACATGTTTTTCTTAAATAGTGATATTTTGTGATGTTTGCTGGTCATAAGCAGCAAAATGTTGATCCAGTGCCACACTACAAAGTAACACAGATAGAAAAAGTCATTAAAAGTCAACAGAAGACTTATAATCACATCAGGAAATCCTATTAAATCAGGGGTCTGTTTAAAGCAATTGCTCTCAGTTTTTGTGATCGTACCCAGCTTCAGACAACACATGTAATGCTGTTGATCATTCTCTGATCATTCTCTGGAGGAAACGTGATTTATGCATTAGCGTGCAGGTATTTTGCTATAACTCAGGGTGATTTAGTATCTGTAAGTCTGCAGTTTACCAGTGTTTGTGAATCACTACAGGACTTACTAGCCAAAGGTCTCAAGACCACAGCAAAACATAATTCACAGAAGACTCACAGCAAGGTACCAGAGATAAGTTGTAATAGTGCTGGTAGTCAACCATACAAGGCCATGCCAAGACTCATATGGGTCCTGGTGCAAAACATGAACCAGGCGACATGAAACATTTACTTCTTACTGCTTCCATTGATGTATTGATGAAGAAAGGGACAAGTAATCAAGCTCAGAAATGGGCTCAGTAACATGGACCCAGTATGTGTTGCTGCCCCCGGCTAACCTTGTTCCTGCTCAGCTGCATTAGTATATTTGACAGCATGCCTTCACACATCTGTAAAGAATTTTAGATGCAATGCTAGGCAAACACAACTATAAGGAATACCAGTACTACACTACTCTTGTAGAACCCTAGTGGTGCATTGTATGGAAAAACTTTAAGTGCAGTTACGCTGGGTATCCACTATGGTAAGGCTCTAGAGTGTAGACTATTCAATACTAAGTAATGTTACACTTAAATTATTGTTACCAGGGAAAAATTGATCTGGTCTTCAGCTCATTCTCTGCATAAACATGAATACTGAGCTTGAAATTTCTCTTTGCCTCCCATAAACTTTAACTTGAATACAAATCATAGCCAGAGTCAAAACATACACAGTACATGAACACAATATTTGGGCTGACGTCTGATTGCTTTCCTGTGATTTTTCCAGGGCAGTTCCACTCTAAGTGACAAGCTGTAGACATGCTGTGGTAGAATGCTGCATTCAGTTTAGTTATAAGATAAGACAATCATATGATCATAAGATTCAGCACAGCTAACCTAGACCACTGCACCCAGTGTCTTTGTGGGGAATCATAAACATTATTGTGACAAACTAACTGATGCCTGCCTTGGTGGCAGTTGTAGTACCGGCTTAAATACTGCCATTAACAAATTCTGTAGTCTGTCCTAGATGTTGTAATTGTAGATTGGATTTTATTGTAGACTTCTCATTTACTGGTGTCTTGCCCATGAATATAAGCATTTGTGAGCCCATTTGCAGCAAATAAATGATGGTGCTCTGGAGGCAAAGTGACTATATTACAATCAGTTTCATCAAGCACTAAAGATTAGTTAGACTGCACACTAGAGTAAAGCTACTAAGGCATAAGATGAATATCTCACCAGGTAAACGGTTTTAGCTTTACTTGCAGATAAGCTGTGTGTAGGGTGCAGACATTGGGCTTTAAACGGGTAGGATAGAAAATTTACTCCTCATGACCACATATGAATGTGTATGTGGTCAATATGCAACAATTTCCATAGCCTCCCTTACAAACAGTTTGGCAGAGGTGCTACATTTCATGATTATAAAGCTGTAGCCATACACATATCTGGCCAAATCTGGTAAAGAATGGGCTGTTTGAGTTAGACAATGTGTATGGTGGGCCTAATTGTACTGTTTACCTAAATGTACTGTTAATATGCAACCACTCTGAGGATATAGATATGCAATTATCCAAGCATTTCCTTTATCAGTGTATTGTGAGGTTCAAGTTTTGCAGAGGGTGGTCATGCACTTAACTTGTGACCAAACTTCTGTACATATGTGTAAGCAGGGCTGTATCACTTTGCACTATGATCGGTTGCTTCAGAACTGCCTGGCAGTGTGCCACACACACAGTCACTTTGCCTCGTTTGGTATGTGTTTTTCATCATTGTGGATATATTTGCCTTGTTTAATAGATGTGACATGTGATATATTGAATGTTCCTATTTGCACATTTTGCTGTACTGGAATCCTTGAAGCACTTCATTAAAATGTAGCAGTGACTGACAACAGAGAATTGTTATTGATCATTAAATGAATTTTCTGTATATAAATCACAGGTATTCATTAAAAAATCCCTCTACATCACTCATATATGTCCAGAAAAACCTGTGGGAACAATAAAACTAGTAAACGTATGGTTGTTCTAGATGGCATTACCATTACACTTTCTACTTGCAGCCTCTCACATCTATTTATTTGAAAAGTACCACTCTCTTTTCTGGTGCGTTTACAATCCAGAAAAAAATAGCGCATGCAGTACTTTTTTAAAATGTTCTGGAACTGAATGCAATGGTGTGAATTAGCCTCACTTTTTACCATAGGAATGAATAGGTATGCTATTTGGACCAAACAAAAAAAATTCTGGTCTCTATCTGGTCTGGAGATGGTGTGAACAAGCCCTTAAACAATTTGAAGATCACTGAGTAACATGTTTAGCAGTTGTCATCAATGTATTTCTAATTCAACGCCAGAAATAATATTATCCAAATCTTAAATGTAGCCTCGAAAACAATGTGATGCAGTGAGTAGGTTATATGACAGCCATCACTTTGTTGTACTAAACTGCATCTTATAGAATATAGTCTGTTTGTCGAGTAAGAATGGCTGTAACCGCACATCCCTTTTCCTTCTATATTTTACTAATATATTGCTATTATTGCTATATGGTTTAAATATCGTTTTTTAGGGATTGCAGCCAAAGCTACACTGTGAAATAAACATAAAAACAGTAAGAGGATGCAATATTGTTGTAAAACAAAATCTGTATATATAGTAAACCCTTTATATCATTGATATATATTAATTTACTTGTCTGAATGCTCTTTGTTATATATTAAAAGATAAGGGCATGTTACAGCAAATTGCACTTATCTTTCCACTGATCCTTACCTCCCCATGCACAGATGCATATTTACCAAGGCCATTCAGTTGTGCTGCAGTGCAATGAACATGCAGATAGCAGAAGAGAGTAGAGTGACAGAAAGATAAGCTCATCAGTATGCTGCTTCTGTTTTCACTGTCCAGTCATAGGATGGGGTGCGAAGGGGACCTTAAGGTATTACTGAACTTTTCTGAACAGAGAAAAATCAGGCTGTCCTGTTTGTGTAAATTGCAGAACAGGATGGACAGAAATATTTGTCACCAGGTAAAACAGTTACTCTGCATGTATTTCACATTTAGCTGTTTGTCTGGATTTCAGCTTTAACTTTGCTGTGCAGTAGTCAACTGACATTAGATTATAAGACTAACCCATTCTAATGTCCTATACATGAGTTCTGTCTAAGAAAAATAGAAAGATTTACAAAAAACTAGAGAACAGATTTTGAACATGGAACAAAATTGGGCAGAACAGATCTATCAGATATGACCCGCCTCCCATGTTCCTGATTGGCCGGGAAGCCGGCTCGATGCTGATTGGCTGTAAAGCCGGCTTCCCAGCCAATCAGCATTGAGCCGGCTGTTCACCTTAAAGAAGGTCAAATACCCTTTATTTATAAAAGAAGCACACTATTCCTTACAATACACTAAGGCCTCATTAACACTTTGATATTAGGTCCGCCAGTACATTCCTGTAGCATGAAACAGCAGATTCCTGTGGCGGGAATCATGGGTGGTTCCAGACAGCTGCAGCCACTCAGCCTGTACAAAGCAATGACAGGCTAAAAGGAGCTGCAGCTATTCACATGTTTCTGCATATCCACCGGTTAACTGTGGCTAGGGACAGAGGTCCAAAATCAGACGCAGACAGATAGCCTATCATTGCTCTGTAGAGGCTAAAGGGCCGCAGCTGTTCAAAACAGTGACGTGCGGTACCTCTTGCTCCGGATGAGACATTCCGCTGACCAAAGCCCCGCCCATGCTGACCAAATCCCCACCCCCTATCAGACGAAGCCCTGCCGGACGAAGTCAGGCCCCCGACCCGTCCCCAAGCTAGTGTAAAGGAGGAAGGGAGGGGACTCCCTGTCCCTCACTGCTGAGGTGCTCCGTCCATGACAGGTTACACAGCGGGGAGGGTTTCCCTGCTGTGTAACCTGTTAGATCCCGATCTGAATGGAGAAAAAGCTGTCAGCTTCAGACATGAGGCTGACAGCTTTCTCCTCCATAATTCTAGGTGAGGCTCTGCCTCACCTGCCTCCCCTGACCGCACATGCCTAGTTTGAAACCATCTTTGATTGCAGCTGCAAGAATCCGCTGATTCTTATCGCACAAATCTGCTGTTTGACTTCATATACAATAGGGTACAAGGTCTAACACTAACACACAGGCGGATATTGACAGATTCCAATAAACAATTGTATGGAACATGTGCATGCTGTGTTGTTTCTGTGGCTAAATTTAAATAACAACAATTAAAGCTAGGGCTGTACAGGATCATTTCTGCCCTATAATTATACATGATAGTTCAGCCCCCCCAGTCTAAGCATTGAAAGTGTGATCTCTGTAACTTACAGTTGTGGTGAGATGGCAGTAACTCACAATCTCAGTAGAGTTGGCAGACAGTAACTTAATCTGGATGACACTTTAAAAATTGTTTAGAAGTTAAATCCAAACCGTGCAGATCTTTATAACAGCAAACATTGGATAGGTTAAAAGATCATAATGTGATCCACTAAGCAAAGGACATGTGGATGAGATGCAGGCTGGAACAATAAAGATTATTCCAGCCTACATACAGGAAAATTGAACTATGGGGAGGGGTGGAGACAATACCAGAGACAGATAATTAATTCTGAATTAAAAAAACTGGTAACATGACCAGTGAAGCGTCTTAAAAAAAAATACAGCAAGTCCAGTTGCCTTGATTGATTATAGCAATAATAAGCAATAATATTTAAAGGCATATCAAAATGCACGTGTACATGACAATGAGCATATATTTTACCTTGGGATCCTAAAG